GGGCAACGAATTTCACCAAATAACATCCAACAAAAGCAAGATGGATGCCGTTGCACTCGATATTGGATGTGGACTTGCGAGCATTTGAACATTGGCTTAAGATTCAGGATGTGGATTGCTTGATGTCCACGACACGTCATACAGAATATTTGGGCGACGGCAAACATTCGAGGTTATCATATTGCCTTTCGCAACAAGGCCAAAAATGTTGACTGCCTCGCAGCGAAATGGAAGCCAAGGAAGTGCACAACAACGATAGAAGTCTTCTAAGTTTTTAGATTTTACTGATCTTCGGACATACATGTTTAAGCATCTTCAGACTTTTTCTCCGCACTACCTCAACGCCTGAACGGCACAAATATGCGGAGGAGGAAGGTTGCATCATTGTTTGTTTCTTACCAATCCTGAGAACAAATGGCAATCTACACGTCCTAAAGAAATTAGGAGAGAAAAGAGCGATACAATTTATGCATGTAAATAAAGATCTTTCGAGATTGAAAGCAATTTAATGAGATCAAGAGGAATTAGGAATGGCAAAGAAAACACGCAGAACGCAATCACAAAACTAAGGGCGAAGCCGCGTGAGTGGAGGAGGGGGAGGATGAGAACGAGGAGAGGGGAGGAGGAGGGGGAGGATGAGAACGAGGAGAAGTCGGGACATGGAGGCGAGAGAGGTAGGGCAGATGGAGGAAGAGGAAGGGGAAAGGAGGAGGGAGGAGGGCGAGGTAATCTACTGATCTTCATTTGAGTACAAAGTAGCCGATTTCTCCTGCTCACGCCGCGTTCTCGTCGAAGTTCTTCACGAGGTCCCAGTAGTGCTCAACATTTCTCCTGCGAAGGAGATCTCGCTACCCGTACGTCAGTTCCAGGCCATGACGGACGAGCACCAGGACAGAACGAGAAGCAGGCATGAAGAAGCAGAGTAGGAAAGAACGTGTCTCGAGATGCACGAGGAGGGTTGAGGGGCAGGCGTAGCAAGCGCGAGCGAAGGGGACGGGAGAAAGAGAGTGCAAAGGTTGCATAAGAGGAAGGAAGCGAAAGAGGGATAGCATAAAGAGGAAATGGTGGAGGGATAATGCAAGGAACAAGGGGGCAGTAGACTCACAGCATTTCCCTCACTCCTCGCCACTTCGAACTTGAACTCTGGAAAATTTGCCTTGGCAAGCCTTCCAACCCACACCAGCTTACAGAAGTTTTTGCCCTTGCTCGCATCATCCGCATGCTCCTCCTCCTGCCAACCCAAGTCAGCAAGCCCGTCCTCCTCCCACCCTTCTCACCTCCTCCTCCTTCATCTCCTCCTCCTCCTCCTCCTCGTCCTCAGCGGTCTTGTTCCACTTGATCCTCCTCTCCAGAAGCTTCCTGAACTTGTTGAGCGAGCGGATTCCTCCCTCAATGACCAGCAGGCAACTCTCGTCCGAGATGATCCCGATGCCGTGCAGCTTGTAGTATTGTGCGTTGACATCGATCTTGTAGCGATTCTGCTTGCTCTGCAGATCTCCAATCTTGTACAGATGGACGGCAGTCTCGAACGCCGTCTCCTTCTCTATCTTGGCAAGCTTCTTCGCCCTCTTCTCCTCTGCCGTCTTCTTCCTCGCCTGGTTGCGATCGTTGTGGTTCTTGAGACGCTGCGCCATCTGCTTCTTCACCTCCTGCTCGATCTTCGTTGGGTCTGCCGTGGCGTCTGCCGCCAGCACCCTCATCATGTTCGAGATCTTCACCTTGGGCTCCGGAGGAGGGATAAATCCTCTCGCCACCATCTCCTGCCTCTGCAGCTCCCGCTCCATGCGCGTCCTCCTCCTCAGCTTCTTCCTCTCCTTCTTCGTCAGGAACATGGGAAGAGGAGGAGGCTCCGCTGCTTCTGCAGGCGGCTCGATGGGCACGGGATGCTCCACATAGATGGTTATCCTCTCCACCGCAAGCTTCTGCTCCTCCGCTTCCGCTCCCTCCTCCGCCTCCGCTAGGATGCGCGAGTCCCACCACTCGACATCGGGCACATGGTCGAGCTTGCGCTTGAGCAGCCCGAGATTAATCTGCTGCAGCGTGTCCTTCTCTGCCTCGTGACCCTTGTCATCCCTCATCTTCTTCAACTGAGCATTGAACTCCGCAATCGCCATCTTGGATCGGAACCTCTCGGCACGGCGGATGTACCGCTGGTCCTCCACGAAGTGGAACGTCGCTCGCTTCTCCCTGCGAAAACTCGGCATCTTCATCCTCGGGTCAAGCACCACCGCCGTCTCCTCCACCGGCTTCTCGGCCTTGGGCTCTGCCACTGGCACCTGCTTGGCCTCTCGCTGGTTGGCCTTCAGCTCCGCGATGGACTGCGGCTTCATCGAGATCTCCTTCCCGTCCTTGTCCACATGCCTGCCCTGGTCATCGAGAATCAAGGGAGCAGGGAGAAAGGTCTCCTTCCTCCCAGCCATCGGCAACCCCGGCATAGCCACTCCCGGAATGGACAGGGCGGGTGCTGCTCCGGCCTGGCCCAACTTCGCCATCTGCTGTGCAATCTGTGCCTGGATGGCTGCCATGCGCTGAGCTTTGGCGATGGCGTCTTTGTTGATGCGGCTTGGATCCGCGGCATTCTGGATGTCTGGTTGAGCAGTATCCCACTGATCGAGGAACTGTCAGAAGAGTGCCTGTGCCAGAACAGTCTCCTCCTCCTCCTCCTCCCACACAAACAAACATGATCGCGCACAGGATTCAAACATAACATATCATCGTGATGCATAACTCAACAACCACCACCCACTGCCATCAGGTAGAAAAAAAACACAGCCAAACTTCTTACGACGGTGACCAGCACCTGCAGTCATCGCCCCCCTTCTCCTCACCTTGGATCTCCTCGGTTTCTTCACAGGCGCCTCTGCATTCTTTGCCGCATCATCTGCCTTCTGATCTCCTCCTCCTCCTCCTCCTCCTCCCGTCGCGCCATCGTCCCCAGAGCTCCACCTGCTCCTCTTCCTCTCCGCCATTGCCTCGTGTCCGTTACGCGTAACGGAGATCCAGATTTTAATTGATTTCAATCAGTAGGAATCGATCGAATCATTCGGCGATCCCTTACACTTCCGTTACATCTGGTACGTATGGTAACGTCTGGACCGTTATGGTCATTGATACTGTAACCGAAGTGACTTTTCGACATCGCCATGGCCTTGCACGCGGCTAGATGGAGGGCGGTGGGCGCGGCGCTCATGGCGGCCGTTGTGGTCTGTGCTCTCGTCGCTTCGTTGAGATGGAACAGCTCCTCTTCCCGCTCTGTCCTTGCGTCCTCTGCAGGAGAGAAGCCAAAGTCTGAGTTCAAGAAGGATTGGAAGCGCTGGTTGAACCGAGTAGACATGCAGGTCAAGGCCGCAGTTCAGCTCTCAAACGGCCTCAGCCAGGCTAAGAAGGCCAAGCTTGTTGAGTTTGTCCATGATGATCTGGTAAGAACCAGTGTGTTTGCTTTCCCTTCCCCCCACACTTGTCCGTTGCAACGAGTGACGCGACCCTTACAGGTTGGAGATATGAAGAGGGAGCAGAAGATTGTGAATGACCTTGACAAGAAGTATGGCGTTCGCGTTTCTCCAGATCTCAAGTTCTCATCCAAGACCGAGAGCTCCAAGGCCGCTCATGAGGCCGCTCAGCCGGCGACCCATGCAGCCGTCCACCACAAGGCTGCTGCTCATCAGGGCAAGAACGCTCCCTACATCAAGATTGCGGACAAGCAGGCGATCGACCATCCCTTGTCCTCCGGAAACAGGGAGGGTGTTGCTGAATTCGGCAGGGTCATCTCAACCAAGGTTGCCAGGGACGATGCGAAGATTGCGCAGGCCAAGGCTGCAGTTTCGCGTGCTGAGCACAGGCTGGAAGCCGAGGAGAAGTCTTCGATGTCTGCAGCTGATGTGGTTGCTGTCGAGAAGTCTGCTCCTGTTGCAAAATCCCACCGCGCCAGAGCTGCTCACGCTCAGCACAAGATCGCCAGCAAGGCTGCTTCCAAGCATGCTGAGCCTGTGATCCCTTCGCTTCTGATGTTTGATGCGTAGTTTGACATGGTCTGTTTGCTTTTCAGCAGGACAACCTCTCCAAGCACGTCTTGGCGATGAAGGTGCCGTACAACAAGGCTAAGGCAGAGGCAGAGGCTCAGCAGGAGGAGTCCTCATGGGGTAATACCACTCGTGTTCTTTTTTCTGCGCACATGTTTCGAGAAAGGACTAACGCATTGTGTTGGTAGATTCCACTCTCAGCAAGCTGGGGTTGGCATCGAATGTTCAGACTGCCAAAAAAGATCCGTTCAAATTCCCCTCCCAACTTCGTCTTCCCGGACAGAGCTCTTAAAGCTCCTTCAGCTAAGAACAGTGATTTTCAGTAAAAGAAAAAAATTGGAGTGTTCTCGTACACACTCAGCAATTATTTGCTTTCTACGAGGAAACAGGATCCAACTTCCAAGCTCGTATCAGTCGGCTCCATATTGGGCGATGTGGACTATAATGATGGTGAGTAGAGATAAGGTTGGAAAGCGCATTCTAAGATCAATCTGAAACACTAAGCCTAGCAACAGTCTACTCTCTGTGACTCAGTACGAAATAATTTATAATCTTGTGCAGCCTCTTTTGACCTTCAACCTAAGAACGTGAAACCGAAACTAATTCGAATTCGAAGAGTATTGAGTGAAACGGATCAAACTACAGGAGTATCAACAACAGAGTTGAAAGAAAATCCAAGAATCCTCAGCAATTAACTTCTGTCTCATCTGAAGTCTTCCAGCCATCAGGGCGTCCCCTCCCGCAATGTTTACCAAACCTGGACAAGAAGCGATTTCAGCTCTCAATAGAAGAACATGATAGAAAAATGCTGAAAGGATCGAGCAAAGTAGGAACAAGACTGACTGATAACCAGGAATGAGGATCATACCTGTGCCCTCTCATTGTTCTTGAGGAGTCCAAGAGAGCTATCATAATCCAGCGATCGCTCCTCCATCCTGAGAACCAATAACGAATCAGAAACTCTCAGCCTGCCGACTAGCACTACTCACCACTTGGCGTCTGACTTGTCTTGCTCAATATCAATCACATCCTTGTAGACTTCAGCAGCGTGTTCAAGTCTGAGGAAGCACAACGATTCTACACTCGACGCAAGCCGAGCAGATTCAGCGGGGGTGAGGTCCCGAAGAACCTGTTCACCACAGAACAACTTGGCCTTGGGGACAACAGTTCCTGAGGCCACGACCGATCCAGGAGCAATGTAGGCACCACTCTCGATCACTGCTCTATCTCCAATAGTCGAGCCCATCCCGATCACCGCGTCATCATGGATAGTGGCAACTCCCACAACAGCTCCTTGGCCGACAAGGACGCGATTTCCGATCTGAACAGAACCTTCTCCCATGGGCGAGATGGTTGCCTTGTCAGCAATGGAGCTCATACTTCCTATGGAGATGGAGGCAAGATCGCCGCGGACAATGGCTCCATACCAGATCGAGCTCTTCTCTGCGAGCTTTACATTCCCCACGACATTGGCGCTTGGAGCCACGAAGCATGTCCTGTGGATGGAGGGGGCGTGGCTCTTGAGAGCCATGACTTCTCTGTGGCGTGAGAGCACCTCCCTCGACGATCCTGCCAGCGCCTGTCCTGCCTTCTCCAGCGTCGCGCCCAGCGACCGTAGCGCCGAGGAGAGCATGGAGAATATGGTAAACGGTTGGGGGGTGGGGGGTCATGAAGACGAGTGCACCACCGGTAAATCAAACATCAAATTACTCAGGAAGGTAGGGTGGGCTACCGCATTTTTTCGTAGACAGGGGTGGATTTTGGAAGGGTGGGTAGGTTCGATTGATGGAATGGTAGGGTAGTGGTCATCTCGCCTCTTGAGGTCGAATGAGAGGGATTGTAGGGTAGGGGTGATCACCCCTACCCTACAATAAATCTTATTTTTGATGTAAAAGATGGGGGTACAAATAATCAAGTGTGAATGGTGTGCCAGGGATAGGTTTCACTACCCTAGTTGTCAGTGACCCCCTTTTCTTCCTGCAATACGGTGGTAGGGGGGTCATTTTACCACCCACCATGTCAAAATGACTCATTAATCATACAAAAAGAAGGGGTAGTACAACAAGGTTGGCAACCCCCAAGTGGATGGGGTAGGGGTGATAAAACAGAGAAATGTTGAGGGTTCTCGACTTGGTTAGGGGTACTTCGCCCATTTCCTCTGGGAGGAAAATAGGGGTACTTCGTAAGAAATAATCTGAAATACAGGTAGTGGTAGTACAGCAAGGGTGGGGTGGTTGCACGCGTGGCCACATGGAAGAAAGGCAAAGGAAAAGCATGGCGAAATGCGGGGCAGAGGATAGGAAAGTTTAGGAGATCATGCGGAGGACGATGCCTAGAAGATGATATGAGAGATGACGAGGAGGAAAGGAGAGAGAAGGTGAGCGTAGACGAGAGATTTTTGCAGGGAGAAGTACAATAAGTACTCGTGTTAGGGAAACTATGGATCGGAAGGAGGGAGAATGCAGTGAAGACTTGTTTCACGCAGAAAGCGACAAGATGGACAGGACTTCAACTATCGAATTTGATGCAGAGATCGTTCTAAGGCGATTAGGGAGAGGTTGGATCTTAGATGCCTTCGAGGTATGTGATGCCACGTGCTGCACGAAACCTAGATTCTGCATGTTTGTCGGCAAGTAACAGACTTGGTTGAGGACAGGAAAGGTACAGAGTGGATTTTTTCAAGTGAAGTTGTGTCATAGTGAGTGAAGGAATGATAGTCATTGGAAGATTAGCTGCTTCCTGCCCTGTTCTTCCCCAGAGTGCAGGTTGCACGAATAGACAACTCAGCATACTCCGCTGCACCTTATACCTTCCTCTCGAACTTGACCTGTCTCGTTCGCTTGCTTAATCGCTTCCTCTCTCCCCATCCTCCATCCCTCTCTCACTGCTCTGACCCTGTTGTCGTCCAGGCAAGTCATCCCGTTGTGCAGATGGAAGACTTGTTCGCCAAGTTGCAAGAGCTGACCGAGGCCGGCGATCCAGACTATGACAGCATCATATCGACAGCCGATCAAAGTATGTATCTCTGCTGTTGTTCTCCTATTTTCGATTGTCTTCTCTTTGTTTTTGTTCTTCCTTGCTTGAGATGTTACTTCCAATGGTGTCTTGCTATTGTCCAACATCCGTGACCCGCCTCTGCAGTATTGGCCAAGGAAGCAGAGGACGAGGATGCGATCAAGTGCAAGTTTGTCGCTCTGCTGAACCTCAAGAAGTTCTCTCAAGCTCTTGATGTCGTGAAGGACAAGCCCAAGGCCTGCAAGGCCCTCTCCTTCGAACGAGCGTATGCGCTGTACAGACTCAATCAGCATGCCGATGCTCTGGAAGCGCTGGAGTCGTCGGGTACTAAGTCAGGGGAGCATGTGGGGATGGACCTGCTTCGAGCTCAGGTGCTCTACCGCCTCGGCAAGTACAAGGAGAGCAGCGAAGTCTACGCGAGCGTCATGGACGAGGAGACAGACCCTGGGGAGCTGGCTGTGAACAGATCCGCCGCTCTCTGCTCCGCCGGGGATCCCACGCTCGGAGAGCAGGTCCTCCGAGGAGCAGCGACGATGCTGGGAGACAACGCGGACATGTCGTACAACCGAGCATGCGCCCTGATCGAGAAGGGCGACCTGACCGGTGCGCTCAAGGCGTTGGAGGATGCAGAGTCTCTGTACAGGAAGGAGTGCGAGGAGCAGGCTGTGACGGAGGCCGAGCTGGAGGACGGGCTGATCGTGTACAATGTGCAGAGGGGGTACGTGATGCAAAGGATGGGGCAGGGGGAGAAGGCGCAAGGGGCGTACGAGGAGGCTCTGAAGAGGAAGCCAACGGATCAGGAGGTGGCTGCAGTTGCTTCCAACAACCTGTTCGCCCTGAGAGGGAAGGATACGTCGCTCTTCGACTCGGCCAAGAAGGCCAAGGCCCTCAACCTCGATGAGCAGGTGGAGGACAAGCTGACTGTCCAGCAGAGGAGGGTGTTCGCGCTCAATCGCTGCCTGCTGAACCTGTACACCAACAAGACCAAGGAGTGTCACCAGGCCCTGAGCAAGCTGGACAAGGAATTAGAGGGTTCAGAGCTCCCATCGCTGGTCAGGGCAGCGCTGCTGGCGAGGGAGAAGAAAATGGACGAGTGCACCGCCCTCTTGCAGAAGCATGCGGAAGCGAACCCAAAGACGGCGCTGCTGGTGAAGCTGACGCTGGCGCAGCTGCAGCTGTCGCAGGGAGATAGGGAGGGAGCGATTGCTGCTCTTGAGTCAGTAGAAGGGGCGTACAAGCAGGGAGGGATCGTGGGGTCGCTGGTCAAGTTGTATGAGGGGGTCAAGGACACAGCTGGAGGTGTGCTAAGAGTCTTCGCCTGTCCTCCCTGCCCCCCTGCCGCTCGTCTTGCGTTAGCCCTCCTCTCCCTCTCATGCTTGCTGGCCTCCTCCCCTCTCCCTCTCCTCTCCCTCATCCCTTCCCGCTCCTCTTCTGGCCTGCCCTCCCTTCTCGTCCCCTCCTCATACTTCGCCGCTCGTTCTCTTCTTTCTTGCCATCATCTTCTCGTCGCCATCCCGAGAGACGGCTGATCCTCTTCCTCCTTGCAGCCATCAAGACTCTCGAGCGAGCGGCAGAGTCAGGAGGGAGCAGCAAAGAAGAGAAGCAGAACTCAAGAAAGTTCCTCCTCCTCAGCGCCGACATGCGCTCGAGGTCGCAGGATCCTGTTGAGGTTAGAGACGATCGGGAGAGGGAAACGAGGGGAAAGACGGAGGGGAGAGGAAGGGAGGGGATGGGAGAGAAGAAGAAGAGGCAGGGGAAGAACTGATTGGGTTTCAGGCAATGAAGGCGTTGGAAGCTGTGATGCTGGCTGGGGAGAAGGATCCGGACACAGTCGCTCGCCTTGTTAACGTACTGCCCGTCCCATTCCTCCCTCCCTCCCTTCCTCCCTCCTCCCTCCCTCCCTCCCTCCCTCCCTCCCTCCCTATGTCCCTCTCCTCCCCCTTCCCTCTCCTCCTCCATGTGCTCTTCTCCTCCCCAGCTCTCTTCCTTCCTCACCCTACCCTCAGCTCTGTGCGGCCATCGACCTCGGCAAGGCCGAGAAATATTCAGAGTTCCTGCCGGCCATGGATGCGGCGTCGGAGATAGACGTGCAGGTCAGAGAGAGAGGAGGGAGGGGAGAGGAGAGAAGAGGGAGGAAGGAGAAGAGGGAGGGAGAGGGAAGAGGGTGGGAAGGGAGGCAATGAGGAACCGGAGGGAGAGGAAGAGGAGCGAGGATGATGATGATGATGATGATGGAGGGAGGAGGGAGGAAAGTGCGGGACGTGACGAGGTGAACAGGAGCTCGAGAGCTTTCAGCGGGCCCTGCCGGCCACAAGGGATGCGGACGAGATGGATGTGGAGGCCACGAAGGCGAAGATGGTGGCTCTGCAGGTGAGAAGGCAAAGGAGCAGGGGAGCACAGCAGAATGCCACTGCTGAGGAGCGCGAGAAGGAGGAGGAGCAGGGAGGAGTCGAAGGAGGAGGAGGCACGAAAAGGGGCAGTAGAAGGGAGGAGGACGAGGATGAAGACGAGGAGGAGGAGGACGAGGCGAGGGTGGAAGACTCACTTCTGTATAGGAGAAGAGAAGGCAGAGGAGGCTGATGCGTCGGAAGAAGGAGAAGGCGTCGGTCACACTCGAGGATGGTGAGACACTTGTTCCTGCTCCTCTCCTCTCCTCCCTACCTCCGCCCTCCTTCCTCGTCGTCCTCCTAGTTCCCTCTCCCTCTCCTCCTCCTCCTCCTCCTCCTCCTCCTCCTCCTCCTCCTCCTCCTCCCTCTCCCTTCCTTCTTCCTCTTCCTCTTCCTCTTTCCCTCCTCCTCAGCTCACTCTCCTCAGGCCGCTCTGTCGTCGTCGAGGCCTTTCACCTCCCCAAGAAGTACGCGGAGCTTGTGGAGATGGGAAGCTA